CAACTTTACCTCTGTGATTTTGTTATTCTTGGCATACATAAATTGGTCCCAAGCAGACACAGTGAAGCAATGCAACTTCCTGCTTTATTGTGTGGGATTATTCTGGATGGCACCAGAAGCACAGAGAGGCTCAAGTGTTTTAAGTGTGGACATACTCTTTAAAGGTTTCAGCTACTGGTATCTTGAGAAGGTTTTCCTCAGCATGAGTAAGAAGTGATTATGTTGAAGGGCTGGTAACAGCCCATGTTCAGGACATTCTCAGAGGTTTAGCGGGAGTCTCAGTCCCATGACTCATATTCACACTCTCAGAGTGTCCTGAAATGAACAACTGCAATTGCTTTTCAAGGAAAAGCTTGCTGGAACTTTTTTTAAATGGCAAAGCAGCAATTCTTCCATCTCCACTTCTCCGCTTGCACCTCTTACACAGTTCCTGTCTGAAACTTTCTCAACTTTCTCACCCTTATCCCACTCTCAGCTCACCTTAAACTGAGCCTCAAGGAGAAAACACGCTACATTTCCATTCACCTGGGGCTTTAGAGAGCCACACGACAGGAAATGTTTGACAAATTTAGCAACAGGCACCACAGTCAGAGAAAACCTGTACATTTTTCAAGCTGAAGTCAAGAAATTGTGCCAGTAGCTATGCCAGCATCCAGTAGAGTCAACATGAGACTTTGGTCTGGTTCGCTGGTTCATTGAATCAGGGGTATTATAGACTTGAACTGTGAGTTCTCTTGTACCAACAGACTGTTTTGAGCAAGGACTATAATCACAAGGAATAAAACACTGTGCAATGCAATGGCCAAATTAAGTACCAGTGAAAGAGGCTCCATTTGTGTCAATCATAGTTATCTTGTTGATGGATCTATCCCATTGCTAATGTTAAAACCTTTCTGTTCTCTTGTTCCAGCTATTCAGAATTATTCATTCATCCTGAATGAATATTTTGTGCTTAAACTGAATCTTAGTAGCTTATTTAGAACCACTTAAGATCTTAAATTAAATATGAGTGTAATGTGGGGAGGCATAGAAATGAAAGAACCGTAATTTTTCAAGTGGAAAATTAAATTTCCTCTCCTTTCTCCTCTTACTTGATGCATCTAGTACAAAGTTTATGGAATTTGAGTAGGTGTACTAAGAAAGTCAGAGAGCTTTGGTAGATATCTGCATGCGATAGATATCTGGCTCTTATGGACACACTTGTTCTCACTGTCTGGGGCAGCATCTGCCTGACACATATGCAAGTGACCAAACCAGTTTTGCCAGATGCATGATGATGGCCCTGAGTGACTGCTGCAAGTGAGGACAAGTCCGCATTGTGACCATATTGGGTACATGGACCACATTAACATGGCTATTGGTGATCTACAGAAATATACCAATTGATTAATTTAATTTCTGATAGAAGGCACAAACTTTCTCCGTTGATACTTAAAGGACGGCAAGACCGACCTACGAATTTGTTCCTGTTTATCTGTTGCATCTCAGGAACCACGGGGAAGAAATTAAAAGCTCATCATCTGGCCAGCATGGAAGCTCAGAGCTTTGATGCTTTCAGCTGTTAAGCCTGCTGTTTCATAGAACCCATTTTCCACTCCTTGATCTGCTGCCCAAATCAATGAGCTGATGTTTGGTTGGGAGCAATACAGTTCCAGACAGGGTTAGCAATTTATAAAATTTCCCTCGGCCTAAGCATAGCAGTGAGCATATATGTGTATGCATGCATGTGGTCTTTCTGGCTGCTTTCAGCATTTGGTAAACAATTACAGGAGAGCATTAGCTGTGCTTCAGTGAATATTGTGAGTCTAAACTAATATCATGATCTTCACTTGGGGACTGATAGCATCCCTGATGGCTCAGCAAGGCAACAGGGAGGTAAACCTGCAATACAACTCATTTTCTTTAGGGTACTTCTCTGTTTTGAACACCTAACCCTTACACTCAGAAATATTTTTTTCATGGAGTTGTGAACAGGTCTCTCTTTTTCAGTAGCTGTATAGATAAACAAGAATATTTTGTATTTCTCCACCACTATAAATCCCTTTATGACAGGGGATAATACCATCCCTGTATTTTACCAATGAGAAGCTGTGGAGGAAACAAAGTATGGCATGAATTAATGGTAGAAGAAGCAAAGATCGCTTCATTCCCAGTGCCAGGATATAACCCTCCGAGATCACCAATGTCTAAGAACAATGAGAGAACAAGAAGCTCAAGGCAGTGGGGTATTACCAGTCCACAAACAAGAAGAAATGGTTCCTGTTATAAGACTGATACAGCTGCAAAACCTAGACACCAGTTAGGTTACCAAAACACCTTTTCAGGTCTTCATTATGCAAAGCTCACTTGTTTCTCCTCAAAAACATTAACTGAATTCCCATTTCTTTTTACCAGCGTTGCCTCACTTAAACTAGACAACTAGGCCACAGAGCTTTACAAAGCTATTTGTTCATGAAGGTAATGAATTTAAATTAGGAAATGCATTGACTGCAGCAGAACCAAGAGAAAAGAGCTCTACAATATTAGGTCAGAACAGCTTAAAGTGCCCTGAATACTCATTGTTTTGTTGATGAGAAGGAGGAAACCCTGGAATTTTGTATGAAGGCATCCTTCAACACTTTTTGATTGCATGACAATCATCTAGTTTAAATACTGACTTGCCCAAATCTCAGGAAAACTCATGTACATAACATTTTTCCTGCAGTTGGCTCATTAAAGCACGAGTTATTTTTTCAAGAGTCTTTGGGCTCACAATACAATATGTAAAATCCTCTTCCATTTGTTGGAAAGGGTTCAGTCTAGTAAGTAAAACGGAGACTGAAAGTTGGTTCCAGTCTCATCTCTGCCTTTGGCTCACCTCTTTGTACCAATAGAAAATAGAGATAATATTACTTTCTGACCTTGCAGTTGTGTCCTAAGAATTAATGTTTGTAATGCACTACACGCTCCTCCAGTGAATGGTAGTCTGGCCAGTGAGCACACTCTGTTCTTCTTTGCATGGAGGGAAATTAGGTGTGCCTCTGATGGCAGCAGAAATTTGGCCCGCTTGGATAGCTGCATGAATCCCATGTTCTCCAGGCTTTAGACAGATTCTTTCAGCTGGCTTCATGACTCAGACCTAACTTCAGTGTGGTGACATGCCTTGCCAGGAAAGATTTTTTTTTTTGGGTTGAGAGACAGTATGCTGACAGGTAAAGCAAGAATTAGGGGCACTCACTCTGGTCAAACAGGAGATCTCCTCTGGAGAATTACATTACCAGCTCCCTCTGAAAGGAATGATGGCAGAACAGTTTAAAAGGCCTGTGGGGTCATCTCTGCTGCTACCACATAGAGAAAAAATCATAAGCTAGCCATCTTCCCAGGGCTCCCTCTCCTTTCTGGGCATATGCAAGTTCCATAGGAAAATCCCATGGGATTTTCAGAGCACCTGGGTTTGACTCCTGCTCCAAAGTGCTTTCTGTAGAGCCTTTCTAATGGCTGTGGGGAAGTGTAGGGAAGCCAGCTGAAGTATGAGGGTGTAAATAACGTCTACTGAGTCTGAAGTGCCTCGGGACAGAGCTGCTGGTGTAGACAGACAGCCTGTAGGCAACAGTGCTTGGCTGACACTGCTTTCTGAAACCAGCCTTCATCTTACAGCCATCAGCAGGATGTTGCTGGGAACTCCTCCTCACTGTACTGAAAATAGCCAGCCTATATCTTGGGTTGCAGCACACAGTGAGCTGGGGGATCTGGACACAGAGGAAGCCCTCTGCCCAAACAACCCATGACAAGCCTCAGCTAAAACCTCATCACACACCAGTCTGGCAAGCACCAGTTATTATTAACATTAATTATTCATATATTTCCATTTTACTTAGTAACTGACTTACAACTGTTCATGTTACTGTCTCCTTACTCCAGCACTTACAGAGGCATAAAGGGCAGATGATAAATACATTTCATACTTCCTCTAATGCAAATGTTTTTGTTTGTTTTTTGATGTTTACTTGCTTGACTGGAGCATTCCACTTGAGCCTCATACCCTAGTTAGTTACAACAGATTGCAAAGTGGGATTCATGCCTGGGTAAAGATAGTTAGCTTGCTTTACAACACCAAGAGAGATGCTGGTCTGAAGCACCATCATGAGGTCGGTCAGGTCTGATTTTAAATGCCAGAAGACTTAAATTTCCTATTGACATACCCTCTGCTCCTCGTCTTCTCCCCAGCAATAAGACTCATTTAAAGCTTTAAAATATGGGAAGCAGAAAAGGAGTGATTAATTTTACTTGCACAACAGCATTCACACTTGTAAGGTTTTGACAGCTTTCCTAAACCCAAAGGAATTCAGATAGCTAGAGCAAATGAATGCATACCAATACTTGCATTGAAAGGATGTAGTTTTCAGGGCTGAACACATATTTTTTTTCCTGCAGGGATCTGACAGTGATGTGAGTATGTAGGATGCTTTACTACCACATTCACGTGATGCTACTTAATTCCCCTCCTCATCTTGATCAGCATATTTTCTTTGTGCTTCTTAAATCAATAGAACTGCAGCAAGTCAACAGATTATTTCAATATTTCATAGGATGATCTGCCCTTACCACCATACTTAGTATCTATTGTTTTTGGTAAGGCAAATAAAATCTTTAAATGTTAGATTTGCTATGCAGAGGGAAGATGACTTTGTGTTTTGGGGGATAGGGAATTAAACTGCAGAAAGCTGAATACTTTTGGAAACAAATTCTGTAGGCTTAAATTTTTTGTATCACTGTCATGATTTTGGATGGAAAATGTAAAACTTGTCATGAATTCATAATAGGCCATTGCATTTCCATCTGAGACAGAAGGAACGTGCTTACTTCTTCAGGAGGGAAGACAGATGAAGGCAAGCAAGCTGCAGAATAAAACAGGAATTAAGTGATAGCTGCTCAGTGATCATTGTTCTGCTCTATGTCCATTATCTGTCTGGGTGTAGGTAGCAAACACCACATGAATTTAAATAAAACCCATTACTCACACTCACTTACAGGCGTGATGATAGGAGTTGCTTGACAGGTCCTACACAGGGAACTCGGATGTAATTGAGCCCGTTGCTCTCTTGATTCTCCTCCAGCAAAATCCTCTACCTGTGCAGGAATATTTTAAAACCTCACTAAATTTGACAGAGTGTTATGGTTTTTTGCGTATTTGATTTTTTTTTTTAATCATTATTGGGTCTCTACAATAGCAGATGGTGAAATCTCTCCTGAGTAAGCCAAATGCCAGTGATTTTCCTTACAGGATGTCATGCAAAAACACTAACAGCTCGGCTCCTATTAGTACTAGAAACTAATGGGCTGACTCCAACACCTTTTAAAGTTCCTGGGTGTCTTTGGATCAGCTCCTTGACATATCTGAATGAGGCAGGCAGTCTGCTTTAAAGACTCTCATATTATTCCCAGAGTTTCAGTTTGGCATCCTATTAAACACACGAAAAATCTTTCTTTAAAGAGCACTTTCTTTTTAAAATACACGGGTTCCCTTATACACAAATATAGTCAGGGTATAAGGTCAGGGCAGTTTACAGGTAAGTTTAAAATATCTATTTATTTTTTCCTTCTTGAATGAGGGACTGCTCACTTCTGAGATGGCCACTGATAGTTTGTATTTGCTGGAAGCAAACATTTATAAGATTGCACTTGAAGAGATTAGGCAGGTGACAATCAGCTGGGCCAGGCTTGTCTTTCCTTGGTCTTTTCCTGTGTCTCTTGCTGTGCCATATTGAAGGAATAGGGCTTAAAGGCTATAAAGGGATATCTGGATTTAATTCATGCTCCTAAAGCTGTCCTCTTTTCTCTCATCATGGTTAACTTATCAGCTGCTGATCATGAAATCTCAATTGAATTCTGTGTCAGTCTCACAGTTCTGTGTTAAATGGGCCTTCAGTAAAATTTCTCCATCTCTATAAGTCCCATATTCCCCACTGGTGATATGAAACACATTAGAATATTTTCATCACACTGATGGGGCTGTAAGAATGTTTGGATATATTTATAACATTCATAAATATAGATTTTCTTCTATTCATATCTACCTGCATTTCATGCTGTAATTCTTATTTTCAGGCATATGTATCTATTTATGATCACTTTTTATCATTTAGATTTCCTTTTGCTTTATGGATCAAAAGACTGTAGAAGAGACATTGCATAGAATACAACTATGAGACGAACGAATTGAGGAGTATATAGATATTTCACAACTGCAAAAAATATCAGCAATTGGCTGCTGATTGTGTGTGGGGTGTGGAGGAGGAAATGACTCGATAAACATGTTTGAGAAGCACCTGTAACAAAAGTCATAAGCCACAGGCTTTTGGTTTACTGTGCTCAATGTGTCACTTGTGCATGAAGAGAACCCCTTGAAGAGAAGCCAACTCTGAGCAGGGGGTGCCTTAATCTAGTGAGAGGGTTGAGTTAGTCCTGGTATGCCTTCCTCAGAGCTGTACAGAAGTGGATGGAGGTGCTTCTGCTTCATTGTAAATCATGGCATTGATCCTTTTCTTCATGTATTCCCTCCAAAAAGCTTGCACATACTTCACTTGTGTCCTCAGACGCCATCAGAGGAGGAAGAAGTATTGGTGGTCCCAAAACAAAGAGTGTTTTTCTTGCTGAAACTCTGCTTTGAACATGACACCAAGTTGGGAGGGAGTGTCGACCTGCCGGAAGGCAGGAGGGCTCTGCAGAGGGATCTGGAT